TAAAGGTTTGAGGCCACAGAAAGAGCAGCTGCTACATTGCTAAACTAAACTCATATGACAATCATGACATAAGAGCTACAGAAGAAAAACATTATGTACAATGAATAGTTAACTTATTCAAAAACGTGTGAACAGCATATACTACAGTGATTTACACATCACGCTGAGACAATCTAATTACATTTAGTTTATTAATTTTTGCGGATATTATGCTTACATGGTGCACCTGACCACGTTTATGCTTAATCAGATTACTGCTAATTAATTGATGTATAGCAAACATGGGCATATGTTGCATTCTGATGCTGGCTGGTTTATTTGACTCTGGGGCACGATAGAATAAAGCTGCTATGTTTAGCCTGCTGTGCCCACTTAATGGCAAATTAAAGGCGTCCAGGGTGCATTTATAAAGAATCAACTGTAGCTGTAGAGTGAAACTGAGCTTAAGATAAAATAACTGGATTTTTTGATGCTCAGTTGCAGTTTACAGGAGACATTTAATCCTGTGTATGATATTTGATTTTTGTGAGTTTTTGAGACCTTTACATCATCAGTGTCAAATTGCACAATAAACCTACCTTTAAGTGACAAATTGAACAATTAATATAAATTCCCTGATGTAACAAAAATGATAAAAAAAAAAGAAAATAACTTTTTTAAGGTTTAACAAACACCCAGTTTCAAAAAAATTATTTTGCTTTGTTTCACAGGGTTAAGATAATGTGTTTCAGCAAGAATTCTGCTCCTTCTCAGAACCTTTTTGCATACTTTTGCGTGTCTTTGTTGTAGGATGATTTCAGAGGTACTATAAAAGAGAAAACATATCAGACCTCTTCCTCCTTTTCCTTCTACGTCCTATGGTTATTGGCTGTCTGCATGACCCCAGAGAAGATGCTGTGCAGCTGCTCACTGAGATCATGCTGAATACTGTCTTTGTGAAAATGTGTGCTGAAAAATAGTAGCCTTACATCCCAAAAGATGAAGGAGCTGTATGGACTAATATTCATTTTTGGGAGTAACACATAATATATAAAACATTGCCAGTCAGACACACTGTCAAACAGTTACATGGTGGTATTTTAAGTGCAAATGCACAGTGCATGTATATGGGTATTACTTGCCTGCTTTGTGGTGTTTTTAGCCACATTGTTGATTTAAAAAAAAATCTGTCAGTTTGGCAAACCTCCAACAAACATGAAGTAAATTATTCTGTAATAATGATGTTGTCATACATCCGAGGTTTTCACCTTCGCCTCCCCTTTCAGATTTTTCTGCAGCCGCCCCTGGTCACCAGCCACCACCGGTCATTTGTGCACATACCTACCTACATACCGCGCTGCGCGAGGCACATACAGTGCCTTCAAATGCGGTTGCGCGCTTCCACCGCACGGCAAACAAAGAGCGAAAACAGTGAGCATCCCTGGCTGTAGAGTTGCACCTGCAGGAGGGCTTGCTTTGATTCTTTTTTCGGCTGTTTTGTCTCACTTGGATAGGAGGACAGTTTGTGTCTGTGTCCCGTGTCCCAAGATGAACCAAACCGCCACCGTATCGCATCAAGTGAAATGCCAGTCTACAAAGGCCATCAAGGTGAGTTGTATGGATTATTCTTGTTCGCCGCGGTGAACTTATTGGTGATTTATTGAACTGTTTGTCGGCAGGAGCTCCGTGACAGCTCCAAACTTCAGTG